GAACCTGCTTGGGACCTAGCGGCCGCGCGGGAAGGAGGCCGGTGCAGATTCCGTCGGCACGCGTCCGGGTCACCGCCGCGAATGTGTGCATTGTTGGCGCACAGAGGCCACGCCACCCCGAAAGGGGTAGAAGTCCCTTCCCTTCCTGCATACCCAGGGGTTCGGAGGTCGAGTGGCACCGGCCTCGCCAGGAAACTGAGCCCAGTGTCTCCCCCAAGCTTTTCTCCCAAGCCCGAGTCTTCGCGCTTCCCGTGCATCAGTTAAAGCAGATAGCAGAGAAGAGTTCTGCCGCTCAGGTCAATGACAGTGAAGGGGAAAAGCCCAGGGCTTTGTGCTTTTTCGTTCAGCATTAAATCCAGCTTTAGTGAATGTTAGCCTGAAACCTCTTCTCCTTTATGATCTGATGAATGAATTTGTGGTATCCTGTTAAAATGTGGGAATTGAATCCGATCTGTTCCTTGTCTCTCTTGCATTAAGAGCTTGGACAAATCCAGGTGTCTAAGTTGTCCTGGTTCCACCTTCTTTTATTATGTTTTCAGAAATGTTCAGTGGCTCTTGTTGCCAGGAAGAAAGGTGTTTTAACTTTAATTGTGATTCAAACATATTTAACTCAAAATACATTCACAGAAGAATTATTAGTTAATTGCCTTACAGTCAGTTGATACAAGGGACTCTAGTGGGTGTTGGCAGATGAACTGTGAATATGTAAGTAGCTCCCACCCTCAAAGAGCTTACAAAGTGTATAAAATTTAATAATGGCTGCCATTTATTAATTACTTTCTGTATATCATAATTTGCTAAGCTTTTAACACTCATTGTCTTTGATCCTGCAAATAAAATGCTCTCAGTATTTTGTAGGTGAAAAAGATGTACTTAAAGAATTTAAGTTATTGGGCTGGGACTGTAGATGAGTGGTAGAGTGCCTGCCTCTTGCATGTGAGGCACTGGGTTTGATTCTCAGCACCACATAAAAATAAATAAAGATTCGGAAAAAAAAGAATTAAAAAACATTAGTTTATATGCCCAAGGCCACAAAACTAGTAAGTTTGTGAGCTGCAGTTTTAGCATAGGCTTTATACCTAATACACTTCGCTGCCCTCAGTTTTCAGTTGGATGTGAACTATTCCATGTAAGTTAGAATGCCTGATGCAATTAGTGACAGACACCTCATTCACTCTGTGAAAAAGGCAAATGGTGGAGTAGTCTCCAGAACATAGTATAGGTTTTGATTTTTAAAATTTGAATTCTGTCTGTCCTCCATGGCACTGCTCAGAATTTAGTGATGAAATCTGTACTGATTTCCTTGGTCTAGGCTCTTCCTTTCAGACATTCTTGACCTTATTACTTAATCTGATACTGTATATTGCTTGTTTATACTGTACTCACACTGTCCTGTGCACTCACAGATAAGCAGAGTATACATGTGAAATATTTGACTTCTACTCTAGCATTGATGGTTGCACAAAGTAAGCCTTTAACAAACCTTTGTTGTTGATGAACCAAAGGAGTAGAACCCAGGTCAGTGTAGTCTGTGGAATGAAGACATGGTTGTAGTAAGTAAATAGGCCTAGACCATGGTGGTGACTGTGGATGCAACAAGCAACAGTTTACAATTCTGCCTTTGATTCAGAGAACGTGTATGTCTATAAAAGATAACAAATTATCAGAGATTACTCCAGTAATATTCTTAGTACTAGCAATATACTTGGGAGTAACTCCATTAGTGCAATGATATGCTTATTTGAAAATTCATGAAAAATGAGTGACTTGGTGTAGTCATTCTACAATTTAAAAAAAGTTTGAATGTGAGAAGACAATAGAAGCAGAATTTTGATGGAAGGCATTTCTCTTGTAAAGCATTATATCCTCATTTAGACCCCAATAGACAGTCTCATTCCTTTATTTATATATTTATTGAGCAGCTACTGTGAGGAAGTATTCCAATTATAGGAAGTAGATGTGCTGTCTCCTGACTAAAGAAAAGGAGCCAGGAAGATTTTATTGGAGAAGCTGAAATTTTATGAACAGTTGATAAGATTGGAAGAGATGATGATGCTGATGATTTTGGTACCAGGGATTGAACTTAGGGACACTCGAGCACTGAGCCACATCCCTAGCCCTATTTTGTGTGTTATTTAGAGACAGGGTCTTGCTGAGTTGCTTAGTGCCTTGATTTTTGAACTTACGATACTCCTGTCTCAGCCTCCCAAGCCGCTGGGATTACAGGTGTGCACCATCATGCCCATCCTGGAAGAGATTTATCATGGGCACCATGTGAAGTGGGTGGACTAGAAGGAGAGTGGGTGGCTCTTTAAAGGCTAGTAACTTGCTGCTCTGATAAGCCTCCTCTCAAGGGACTATTTAGTGCAGATTTTCTCAAGCCCTTCTAGTGCGAAAATGTGTAAGTGGCTACACCTGGCATTCTCGCTCCTTGGTTTGGCTTTCACTTTATGTGAATTGGGCCTGTTTGACTTGTCCAGCCTGTGTTTACATTTGTTGCCACATTTAATTGCATAGTTTTCCCAGTTGCCTACCAAAATCAACATAACCATGTTTAAGGTACTAGTAAAATTCACTATTGTGTCTATAATCAAAAAACCTAAATAAAACTGGGTGGATTTTTGTTAGATAATAGAATAAATAGGTACAATATATGAACTGATTCATAAAAAATATCTTATATAAAATCTACACTAACTACTCTTTCTGGTTATTCCTACTACTACTACTACTACTACTACTACTACTACACTTTTATGTACTTTCAAAGCAGGAGGTTGGCTAAAGTTGTGCCTCAATTTCCAATATTAACTGAAAGCCTAATAAAAAACTTTTCTAGCTGCCAGAGTCAATCTTAACTAATATGGTTTTAAAGAGCATTCCCAGTTTGTCTTGTCAGCTAGTCCAATTCTTTGAAGTGTGAGTTGTGTTTTTTTTCACTCATTTGTTTTTTAAATGTTTGATACATTACATTCTGCTACAAATGCCAGGAAGCGCTGTCTAGTGAATTGTGATTTGACTTGTTTTTTGCCATTCCTTAGTTGGGAGCTGAGAGCGCCGACAGCATTGGTGCTGTGTTGAACAGCAAAGATGAGCAGAGAGAAATTGCAGAAACGAGGGAGACTTGCAGGTCAGCCAGATAATCTTTTCTAATAACATGTTACTATTGTACTAGGATCTTTGTTTTAATAAACAACCCTAGGTCTGAATGTATTATGAAAAATATCAAAATAAAGTTCTTTAGAAACATTGGTTTATATTGTCAGTTCATGACTTAAAAGATATTTATTTTTGACTATATTAAGTGCCCATTTATAAGTAGTTAGAAAATGGAATGTTAGACTAGAATTGGCTTATATATCTAATATATTTTCAATTATAATTTTTATACATTTATAAAAAATATACTTGGCCCTCAACATGTATACACTGATAGTTTAGAAAGCATTTCAGAATTAAGTATTCTAGTTTATAAGAGTTTATTTTCTTATTTGGTTCCTTTCTCATAAAGTACAGAATTGTCATTGCATCAGTTTCTTGGATGATTTATAAACTGGGTAAAGAGATATTGTTTCACCAGGAAAGTTTTGCCTATACAAGCTATTTAATATTTCCAGTAGACACATGTATGCATCTTCTGTGTATTTGGGTGCGATTCTTTGTTTTAATTTTCAGGGCTTCCTATGACACCTCTGCTCCAAATGCAAAGCGTAAGTGTCTGGATGAAGGAGAGACAGATGAAGATAAAGTAGAAGAATATAAGGCAAGTGGAGAATGGGGTGATTTTTATAGTCTAGAAAAAATAAATTCTTATAATCATAAGTTGACATCCAAGAAAACAAATTTGATAGAAAGCTGAGTTCTAAGGTGTGTTAAAATAGTTGTCAGTAGCAGAGACCATTGGTTAGATTATGACCTTTATGAACATTCCCTTATTTTAATGTAAGGGTTGTGCTTACCACACCCTGGCCATGATGTTTGTTATAAGAGGAAAGAGATATGTGCACCTTCTGGTGTGCACTTTTGTTGTTTGGAATTCCAAGAGACTGTAGCAGTCTTGGGCAGGGGGTACTTGGGATTGAACTCCGGGCACTCAACCACTGAGCCACACCCCTAGCCCTATTTTGTATTTTATTAGAGGCAGGGTCTTACTGAGTTGCTTAGTGCCTGAATAAATTGCTGAGGCTGGCTTTGAAGCCACTATCCTCCTGCCTCGTCTCTCAAGCCACTGGGATTATAGGCGTGGGCCCAGTTGCAGCAGTCTTTTTTGAGTTACATTATTTTGTGTAACAATGTAGGCTAGGTAGGATAATTAGAGAACTCATGGGCTAGAGAGCAGTATAGAACCATTTCTGAAATCAACCGAAGAAAAACCCAACTTCTATACTTGTAATTGCGTTATTTAGTTAAAAAGAAAGTATTATGGAAGAAAAGCCTATGTTCTTTTTTTTTCTTTTCAAAATAATCATAGTTTCAGTAAATCTCTATGATGATATAATTCCTGATCTCATGAATACGGTCTTTTGTTTTATACTTTGATATGTGCTTATATGTAACTTAAATATTTGTGATTATATTAGGTTGAGTCATGTCAATTTCTGATATTCTAACATTTTTGACCTATAAAATGTGCAGTTTCATATGGTTCAATCTAATAAAAACAAAATTTCATGATTCAAGCTAAATGCTAACATTTCAGTAAATTATAGAGATAAATAATTCTAGACAATTCAGTCAACCAAACACTAGTAGTTATAGGTAATTATTATTAATGATAATGATAAGGACATTTTGTTTTATTATAAAAAGATTTTTTCCTTTATTTTTAATTGTGTCTTGTAAAAAGGTTAGGTCAAGATAATTACCACATCCACCATCTCTCAAACTTATTTACTAGTTAGATCTAGTGATGAAAAAGCAAAGACTTAAATGTTTCATTTTAATGCCAATATGAAATATTATGATAATTGAAAAAGTAGCCTATGTATATATGTTTCTTTAATCTTCATTTTTCAAGGATGAACTAGAAATGCAACAGGAAGAAGAAAATTTGCCATATGAAGAAGAGATTTATAAAGATTCTAGTACCTTTCTTAAGGTAAATAAAACAAATAATTTACAAATCTTGTAACTTTTCACATTTAAGCTCTGTGCCTCAAAGATTCCCCCCCACTTTTTTTTTTTTTTTTTTTTAAATCGTACTGGGATCAAACTCTGGGGCTACTTTACCACAGCTAACCCCACAACCCTTTTTGTTCTTTGTTCTGAGACATGGTCTCCTTAAGTCCTTGAACTTGGTATCCTTAAATTGCTGGGTTCACAGGCATGTGCATGTCTAGCCATGCTGGAAAAGATTTTAAGTACTTAATTTTCTTCAGGATTTTAAGTACCTATTTTTCTTCAGGATTTTTTCAGTTATTGAGGGATCATTATTATAAAATATTTTATAATCATTATTATAAAATATTATATAAAATAATATTTAAATTATTTATGAAATATTCTTATATTTGGCTATTTCAGATGAGACAATGGTATATTCACACCAGTAGTTGATGAAAAGTCATGCTGTCATTTTAGTGGTATTATCAAATATACAACTTTTAAAATCATATTTTGTTTGGCTTTCTAAGAAAAGACAGTATGAAGTTATTGTATCCAAATCAGAGTGCATGCTGTTAACTTTGACTTTCTCTTTAGGGAACACAGAGCTTAAATCCCCATAATGATTACTGCCAGCATTTTGTAGACACTGGACATAGACCTCAGAATTTCATCAGGGATGTAGGTATGTCAGATTTATTTGGATTATGCTATTGCTAGATTATATGCATGTGTTTTTCAGTTTTATAGATGATTTGTAAAAAAAAAAAAATCATTTTTTTTCAGCTTGACTTTTTCTGTTCTGAGTGCTTTCAGTACACCTTTCTTTTTCATCAGCAAGATTACTTTTTGGGTATAATTTCTATACGATATAGTTCACCCACACTTTAGGGGTATAATTCAGTGTTTAGTATGTTCATACCAAGTTGTCAACTATTATCAGTCTAATTCACAACATCTTCATCTCCCCTGAGGAAGGAAGCCCTGTGCTGTACATTAGTAGACAGTCCACACTTCTCTCATCTACCCCCAGGCTTACATGACCATTAATTTACTTTCTTTCTGTATAAATTTGCCTTTTCAGGACCTTTCATATAATTGGGATCATATAGTAGGTAGTCTCTTGTTACTGGCTTCTTTTACTTAACCTATTTCCAAGGGCCATTAATGTCCTAGCATATATCAGTCCATCATTTGTTTTTAGTACCAAATAATATTCCCTTTGTGTGTGAGTAAGTGTGTGTGTGTGTGTGTGTGTACACACCATATTTTGTTTATCCATTCGTTTCGTTTTGTACTTTGGTCTATTAGGCCGAATGCTGTTATGAATAGTTATATAAAAGTTTTTATGTGGATGTATGTTTTTGTTTTTCTTTGGTATATACCAAGGAATAGAATTGCTGGATCTTATAATTCTTTTTCTTTTTTCAACAAAAATTTTTGACTTTTTTATTTTTATTTTTTAAAATGTGGTAATTCTGTATTTCACTTCTTGAGGACCCACTCCAGTGTTTTTCATGATGGCTCCACCATTTTACATTCCCACCGTCAGCATGGAAAGGTCTCGGGCTCTTCATATCTGGACACTTGTCTGAGATTTTGATCACAGCTGTCTTAGTGGGTGTTGAGTGGTATGCCCTTGTGGTTTTGATTTGCATTTTCCTAGTGACTGATAATGTTTTGTATTTTCATAGGCATATTTACTATTTCAATATATTCTTTGGAGAAATATCTGTTTGGACATTTCTCAGTAAATCTTTAGTCCAAAATTTGTTTTACTGCTATAAAAAATTTATTTTCTCAAATTTAAAAAAATGATTTAAGACAATTGGTAACATTTGGGGAGTAAATACCAATTTAGCTCCCTACAATATTAACAAATGCAAATGAATCAGAGAGCTAAAAATACTACAGTGTGAAATTATTAGAATATATTTACTTTATTGAAGAAATGAAAGCATTCTTTAAGAAAAACAGTAGTTATTAAGAGAATAAATACAAATTTAATATTCTACTAAAAAACTGAAAGCTGGGAGAAGTGACACACACCTATAATCCCAGTAGCTCAGGAGGCTGAGGCAGGAGGATCACGAGTTCAAAGCCAGTCTCAGCAACTTGGTGAGGCACTAAGCAATTTTATTGAGATCCTACCTCAAAATAAAAAAAATAAAATAAAAAGAGCTGGAGATGTGGCTCAGTTGTTAAGCATCCCTGGGTTCAATCCCCAGTACCAATGAAGACTGCAAACATAAAGTGTATCAAAGTAAGAACATAAAAATTTTATAAAGCAAAATAAAGTTTAAAAGTTTGTGAGCAAAATATGAATGGATAAAGTGAAAATGGCTAATGAACATCAAAAGATGTTTAACATCATTAGTCATCAAGAGGCAAACAAAAACAAGGCTATAACATTTTTCATCCATGTATTTGGCAAAAGTTAGGAGTTTAGTAGCCATGAACACCTCCATGGTAAAGGTGGGAATATAAATTCTTTGGCATCCAGGGTAAAATGTGTAAATTTGGATAGATTGGTGTTATTTCCTTGAATTTGCCAAAGGCCACAAAAAAGAAAGAAAGAAAAAAAA